GTGACCCTCAGGGTGTCTGTATCGGAATGTCTAAGGACAGATGGGCAACAGTGTAAAGCTGGTGGATATTTGGGGTGAGAAGTCATTACATGGAGATTGAAGAAACTTGGATACATTTTACTTTTTGAGGAACTTTTCCATGGGCAATTGTCACTGGTAAAAGGTACGTGAAGTTTGATGTCATCCTTACGGGGGAGGGGATTATCATTTACTGAGCACATGCTCTGTGTCAGGTGTTATGCTTTGCATTCATTCCCTATAATAGACTTGTGAGGCTGATGTTGTAATTAGTCTTTTTTTCATCTTGCTTTAGTCTTTGCAGATGATGGACATCTAGTTCAGGCTGGCTAATCAGCTTAACGAAGGTTACACAGCTAGTAACTGGTAGAGCCCAGATTCACATCAACAGCTATGTGACCCTGGAGCTCCTGTTCTTGAATGAGGCTGCCAAAAAGAATATGTTCACATCCTGAGCCTTTGGCACTCTGTTGTCCGTAACAATAGGGGGGGAGTTGGAATAATAAATGGATTTTGCTTATCATGTTGATGAGGACAGTCATAATAGGCAACAGGTATTGAACGCTGATTATGACCAGGCATTGAGCCATCAGTGTTACATGTATTATCTCATTTAATTTTCTCAACAACTTCCTAGGCAGGGATATTATTAGTTTTGTCATTCAGATAAAGACTTAGTGATAGAACCGTGAACTGACATGTCCAAGGCCACACAGCTAGAAAGCGGTGGAGCACCTGGCTGGGTACAAGGAGTCCCAAAAGACAGCTGACAGCAGGCCCAGCCAGGCCATGCAGGTGTATGCGTGACTACAGGAAAGATGAGTTTAGAGTCTGCACTAATTTGTCCGTCTCGTTTGAGATCCGTGGCTGTTCATTTGTTCGGCTCATTGCTCTGCTGCAGGTGCCCATTTGGGCACTGTGAAGTCATCACTTCACCCTCAACGGGCTGATGAAATACCCAGATATGGTAAATGAAGAGCAGAGATGAAATTTCCTTTAGTTTTGCCAGAGGAGTGGGGTGCTGGCAGGTGTAATAATCTGGGTCACGGAGCATTTCTCCACCAGCCCGTCATGGGGCTGAATATTCCCCAGGAGAAATTCCATCTTTGAGTCTTGAAGGCGTCTACACTTTCCTCTTTAAAAAAGGCAAACATCTTTATAGAGATGACTGGGATCTCAAATGCCTTCAGGGGGTTAGTAGACAAGTAATTCACTTTTGAAGGGAAGGGGGTAAGGCTGAAAAAGGTGTGTTGGTTGCTATGGCAACCTGGGGACCATTGGCCCTGCCCACAGGCATTTACGACATGGCAGAACCAACAGTCTATGGACCTCCTGTCAGAAGGTAACATTTTTTTTTACCCCCTCCTGATTAGCAGAGTTCACTGTAGAGTATGTGGGGAATAAGGACTATAGAAAAGCCTAAATCAAATCTAAAAAGTCTAAAGCAAATAGAATCCTCACTCTCTTCCTCCCCCTTAAGTACTTGTGCTATCTTGGCATAGTCCCTTCTAGTTATTTATTATTTTCTTTTTACCTGAGTGTAAAAATCTGCTGCATCAATGGGGTCTGCACTAAAAAAAAAAACAAAGACAAAAACAACATTTGAACCTCAGAGAAGGAATACCTGGGGTCAAAATAAGGATATCACTAGGTTACATTTCAGACTGATAATTAGCTACAGAGAAGACCTCATTCTGGAGGATATAATCTGGGGATGCAGAGGTAGTAGAATATAAAAGGATGAATTGGAGGGAAGGTCAAGGTTGAGTCTGTGGATTTGCCAGTGGAAAAGTGACCAGGAATGACCTTCAGCAGGATGGAGAAGGGCACTGAGGGTGCGTTTGAGACAGGGTGGGAGTGTGGAGTGAGATGTTAAACTCAGAACGCCTGCCTGGCCATCCTACCCCCATCCTCCTACTAGTTAAGATAAACCAATCTACTGGGAAATTTAAAAAAAAAAAAATTAAGGAGCAGGAATTTTTTTCCAAGAAAACCTTAGGAGGAATCCCTTTATATATAAACAGACTTAAGTGCAGCTGATCTGTTTTGAAGAGGGTCAGGGGACCAGGAGCCCTCTCCTGCTCCAAATCCTGAGCTCACCCGGAACATTTTCTCCTGGCTATCTGGCCACCCTCAGAGAAGTGTTGTTTCCCTCTCACATCATCTAGAACTCCTGCACATTGCTGATCTCAGTGACCCTCATTTCATTCTTTGGCTCTTCTCCACATTTGCTCTTCCTCAGTTTGCTGAATCTCCTCTTGTCGGTTTTTTTCAGATGCGTATTGACTTTTGCAAAATTCTGCAAGCCATTCTCAGAGAAAGATTGACTGATGTAGGGTCGGTAGGGAAGGAGGTGTAGCCATTTTAGATGTTAGTAAACATGGCAGCTTGTTGAGGATTAACAGGAAATCATGAATAAAATCATTAGGATTTGATAAGGGATTTTTCTGAGACAATTAAAGATTTTTTTCCATTATCCCCACCCCCCCCACCCCCCAAGAGAGTAGGGGATGAAGGTCATTAAGATAACACGTTATTAGTCTCCTACTCTTAAAATAGATAAAAGACAAAAGTCCTTAACCTCTCCCTGCCCACAGGGCCTTTGTGCACTGTTTTTCACATTCTGGCATCTTTCCAGCAGGGGATACTCTAATACCTCCTACTTAATCCCCAATTTTCTTTTAAACATCAGATATTGGATAGGCTGGAACCTCATTTAAGCAGTGAAGAACTCTGGCACTTTGTGGCTGGGACCAGCCAAGGAGAGAAATATTTTTGATGCAAAAGAATAATTCAGTAAAGGAGGTAATGAAGGAGATTTAAACCTTCCACAAACACATCAGTGGGCAAATAAAGCTCATCACTCTCAGTTTAGGGTCATGGCTGAATGAAATGTTGTAAAACTGGAAAAAAAAAAAAAACCAACTGTACAAATGGGTCAAAAATCTCAGTGGGGCTCAGCCAAGCCTGACAATTGAGAATTTGACAAACCCGCAGAAAAAAAAATTCCTTTAATACGAGAAAACCCCTCTGGAATAAAGCACTGAATTTTTATGTTATTTTTTTCACTTATGTGCACTTACATGGTCTTAGGGAAAAATCTGACTTTGAGCTGAAATTTTGCTTCTCCAATTATAGCTCGGGGGATCTCTCTCACGTATGCACTCGGCCAGAGGCCTATATCGTCTTATAAGCCAGAGTGAACGATTTGGGTAATGGAGGAATGCACTAGTGAGAACAGAGCTGCGAGATTTGGGCATTTGTGCTGCAAGTCAGCTGGTTGCAGTCCTGTGGTGCACTTTACTCACAGGAGTTGAAGTGACCAGCCACCTGCTGGAGAGATCTGGGCAGGGACACACTTGTCCACCAAGCCAGTAGCCCAGGCGAGGAGGTTATACTGGAAAGGAGCATGTGTTAAGTGCTGAGAGAGGTATCTTGGACTATTCTTGCCTCTGTGTGTCCTCAAAGAGAATTTAAAGTATATCTTGGGAAAATCAGGGTATCATGCACTTACCCCATAGGATGTGTGTTTCACGGGAGGTCTCCACCAGGATCCTTCAGTTATCAAAGAAAAATTGCGGTACTGAAGGGCACCATGAAGGCCCTCTGTTACGTTTCCCCATCAGATAGAAGAAAACCCCATACCGCATCCCCACTGGGTGGACTTCCAGCTGCCGTCTGAACATTGTCAGTGTCCCGCTATCCACTACCACAAGGAATCCATCCTCTTGTTGGGGAGCTTTGACTACGAGGAATTCCTTTCTGGGGCTGAGCCAGACCTTGATTATCCAGAAGCTGGCTTCCACGCGCTCTAGGAAAAACATGCAACACATCTGTGACACGTGACAGTCTTTCAGCCATCATGTCTCATTCAGTGTCTTCTTCCCAAACGAAGTCTTGTAATTTACTCAACCCAGTGACTATACCCTAAGTCTGCTGAGATTTAGCAAAGAAGAATGGAGATCTGGTAGAAATGTCTCTCTCTCTCATTCACTCTTTCAACCTTGCCCCCCAACACTATTATAATTTTTTTCTGAACTTTTTAAGGGTAAGTTACAGATATTCACGTACTCCAGTTGTGAATTCCCTAAACATAAGGATTTTCTCTTACATAAGCACAGTTTACCAAAATTTAATATACATTGATATAATACTACTAGTTAATTTATAGACCTTATTCAAATTTTACTGACTGCCTCACTAATGCCTTTTGTAGCAAAGGACAAAAATTGTTTTCGGCTCAGGATCTAAATTACAATTCTCTATTGTACTTACATGTTATATAAATCCTTTAGCTCCCTCCTTCCCTTCCCTTCCCTCCTTCCCCCTCCTCTTCCTCCCCTTCCCCTCCCCTCCTCCTCTCCTCTCTCCTTCCCCTCCTTTTTTTTTTTTTTTTTT